TAAGTGTTTGTGCTCACCCACCAAGACATGGCCCACCCCACTTTTTTAACAAATTTCAGGCGGTTGGGGGGTGGGCGATGACTTGGGATATTGCGGTATATTTTTAATGAAGCCAGAAAACGCAACTGCTCGAAGCCAAAACAAGAGCACGGAGTAATGGCGCGACATGTTGACTCAAGAGAAGGGAGAAATAAAGAGGAGGAGAGTTGCCGGAGGTCGCATAACTACACCCAACCGGGTTCCTTGGTTTTGTTTTTTTCTTTTCTGGCTGTGCAAGGCAGATGACAGTTGTAGCATTCTAATGCTCAAGCACACAAGGGGGAACTCCTCGTTTGCAGTAATGCAGCCAGTCGACTGCAGATCAGAAAGTTTGTTGCCGATTCCCTGCTACAAAGGCACTCCCAGGTTTGGAGTTGGGCAGCACTCTGCATTGGCCAGATATGCAGTGCAGGTGAAGAGGGAAAGGGCGAGCACTAGGATGGTGGGAGGGAGAGGAGGTTTCTCTTCTCCCCAGCATTCCTAGTGCCTGCCCTTTGTCCTCCCGCCTGGCATTGCCTGTACTGCATGCAACTAGTGACACGCAGTATAGTAAAGAAATCCTATGCATTCATATTCAACTCCAAGCACGCATTTTGTGCTTGACATATGTTTGTGTTTCAAGCTTTTACCAATTTCTGTTTGTAAGACGTGCGACGTCTTCAGGCAGGAGAGGGGGTAACGACTTGGCAACATCTCTGTGCCAATCAGCGTGGCAGACGGGCGTGTCTTAGTTATTCTGACAGCTAAAAGATTTCTCTTTTGAAGCTAGACAGATTCACTGGTACTGCGAAGGACAGCTCTGAAGCAGACGCCCGTCGTTCGCCACCATTGCTTAGTTTGCTTCGTCCAGCCGTTGAGCCGGCGATACGACGCCACGTGTAGAATTATGCAGTGCATGTGCTTCTGACACTCTGCAACTTTTTTTTTTTTTTTATCAATCAATGTATTGGCAGTTTTTTAGAAGCCACAAAGGTTGGGTTTTATATTTTTTTCTATTGTTAATATTGAGTGTGTCTCTTCGATGGCCCACGACTTTTATTATATTTGGTGGTTCTGTTGGAACGGCATGTGGCTACAGAGAAGAGAGTGAGCGCGACTAAAACCGGCCAGTTCTCGATCGGCTGTTCTCGGGAGGAAAAGAAATGAATGAAGCCGGAAATTGTTTTTGGGTAGCTGGGCTCTCATATGTCATGTACAAATAAAAACCTTGGCGAGCATAAATACCCTGTCAATGTCCCTTTAAACTAGTGATGGGACGAATCACTGGAGATTTGGTTTCGGACAGATTCGGAAATTTCCAAACTTCCCGCGACGAATATTCGGCAGATTCGTTGCTGGTTGTCGATGGCGGGATGCCTTTTTTTGAGGTTGATACGGTGCAGAGCAAGGGGACAGATTAATAGCTTGATGTCTGTGACGTCTTGTCCGGTTTTCGTCAAAATAGAGCTATTTGTACCTATTTTGTTACCTTGACATCTTCACCTCTTCACTTCGTGCACTCCTCCGAAGTATGCTCCCAGCTCGTTCCTCTGAAGTCAACACAATTCCCATAGATAGCAAAAGATGACCTGTGCCAGTCGTTTGCAAAGTGATGTAGATGAAAACAAATCGCCGTGGCGTTTTTGGCGGCCTCGAAGATGCAGGAGCGAGCCGACGTTCAAAACTATGTGTTTCAACTATGAGAGCAACGAGAGTGTCGGCAAGAGCTACATAAATACCTGTGCACATTAGGAGCAGAGGTGCGCATTCGATCGAAGTGCTTTGGGACCGATCTTTCACGATTGCTACTCGATCCTGACGTGACACTTGGCAAAGAAAGGTTGGACCGGCATTGCGTAGCTCCCCCGAACTGTTATAGCTCGACAGTGACGTGCAGTCGTGTCAGAATAAAAATGGCATACTAATAACAGTGTACATACCGTGTTGCGAAGGTAATCCATTTGGCGTTTACTTGAGCTCTACATCACACAAAACAAAAAGATAGAATCGATGAGAGTCTCTTTTTGATGTCGGCGTTCGTCACCGCTGCCTTGGAAAACAAGGGAGATGACAAGGGGAAGAGATTGGCCTCTTAATTTAAAACGAGATCAGCGATCAAACTATAATACGGGAAGGGCCTACGAGGGTCGCGCAGGCACGTATTCCATTCAGCAAGCCGGTCGTGGGCAGACGGTCTTGGCGAAGGACCGTCGGAGCAGTGCAGGCGCTGGTCGGAGTAACGCTGCGCCGAGTAGGATTGCCTGCTAGGACCTAAATTCTGCTGAGCTCGCTCGGTTGGTGTCATCGTTGCCGGCTTTTCCGGGTGTTAGTGGACTTGGCGTTCGTGTTCGTCGTGGCCGTTTTCAAGTACTTCCTTCTTTTTTCTTGCTGCTTGAAGTCGGGATCCGCGAGAACAGCATGTAGAAAACTAAATGTCCGTTGGTAGTCGCGACCAAGTAACTGAGCGACGTTGTCGGTCATGTTGATTTGATCGTAGAAAAAAGGCTCCGGAGCTGTTGTCGTACATACATTTTTGGCGCAAGATCGTTTCGTGAATCTGGCCTTTGTTCTTTAGTGCATGGCATTGCAACAATAACACGCCGCGACCGCCGCCTCCCTTCGCCCCAACACTGGACACAACAACTTGCAACAAGCTCTCCACCAAATGTTAAAAAAAAAATATATATATATATATATATATATATATATATATATATATATATTTGTTTTTGCGTTTCCAGCAGTGACGTGACGAACGTCACTGCCCCGTATCGACATCTGAAAAGAGCGTCCCGTGGACGGCACCATGAACCTTGTCGTAAACCTCGCAAATGCAGTCAGTTGTGTTTTTTTAGGTACTGTTACTGCATATAACCAGATTTAGTCTTGTTTATTTCAACGAATGATATGTACTGTAGTGTTATTCTAAACGCTGGCGCGTGCCCAGGTCCAGCTAAGCTGATTGATGTGGTTGACGTAGGCCTAATCAATGCACAGTCTTGGTTTCACAGTGATCGGTAAAATGTCAATAAAGGCAACGTGGGCGTTATTTTGATTACATGCCACTACTAGAAGCTCGTTACATGGCGCCTAAACAGCGTCTAGGTAAGGATTCTGGCCCGGCCCTAGGGGGGCTCTGCCCCCCCTGGATCTCACCAGGGGGGGCACGAGCCCCGATGCCCCCCCGTAGTCTACGCCTATGGTCACAGCCATGGTTATGAACGTTCAGAGTGGTGTTGAAATTAGAACCGCGGAGAGACCAGCTCGCATTACTGCTAGTGAAATTAAATGGCATGCCTATTCACCCGCTGATAAAGTATAATAGAAATAATCCAGAAAGCAGAGGTTAAAAAATTTAAGAATTTAAACGACTACTCTGATCATAATTGTTGATGCTTGGAACTTGGAGACAGCCACTACCAGACACCTGATGTGTTTAAACAATACCCAGCACATTTTTTTTTTGGAATGAAAAGATCACATAGCAGGCGGTAGGCAAATAGATAACGTTGAAAGAGATTTATTCCACCGATTGTTACAAAGGCCGATCGTGTCGGGCTCACAGTTTTTAAGCACTGTCAGTTCAGCTGAACACCACGCTACAATAGACGCTTTGGGGTAGTGCCCAGGGGCAGATGCAGGAATTTCCTGAGGGAGGGGTCAGGTGTTGGTCAGCGTACCATATGTTTAGGAACCCCCTCTCCTTCGTTTTACGCCTTAAATTTTACACGTGCAGAAATCAAGACGGGGGTCAGGATATCCGGACCCCCCCTCTAAATCCGCCCCTGGTAGTGCTGGTGCTAACTCAATTTTTATAGTAGAAATAGAGACTGCATAAAACAAGGAACCGGACAGAAACTCTTCAAACGGCGGCATAAATCCCGAACATATATCAACTTTCCTCAATTAGGGCTCTCTGCTTTGTCAGCGAATGAAGAACATTTTGATAAAATAAAGGGTGGAAAATACTCACAGTGACAGGTTTTCTAATCACAGTCACTGGTTGATGTCGTCCCGTGGTAATTTCCGGCCTTTCATTTGAATACGCTAGCACTTTATACAGTCGGATTTCAGCGATGCAACGTCGCTCACGAACAAAGGTAAACAATCAAGATGGCGGAGTGTTGCCCGTGTCCCCGCTGTCAGCGTGGTGTGACAGGGTGCTCGGACAACACGGTCGCCGGGTGGCGGCAACATATTGCCCGACTGTCGTTTTTGCCGCTATGTGACAGGGTTGCCAGATAGAGTTGTCCAACTGTTGCCTCAGTGTGTCCTTAAAGAAACAAACAGTGCCATCCTGTGGTGTGCTGATTTACTCCGAGTTTTTTGCCGCTGTTCCTTGCCTAGATGTTTACATGGTACTTTTTAATGTGAAATCACTCCTAATCCCAATTGGAACTGGGCGGAGTGGTCCTTTAAAGGGAAGCTACGGAGCTTCTTGGAAAAAATGAGTTAGAAGTGAATTCTAGTGTATTTTTATCTTGTGAACCCGAATACCCAAACCATTTGCTGCGTAAGTATTGTTAAACGCGAGAAAAACGCAAAAGACAGTCGCTGTCCGTGACGTCATCGACGGCTCTTTTGGCTGCCCGAGGCTAGGGAGGCGGGGCTTCAGTCCTATTTTGAAATTGCTCGTATGGCTCTCCGGCGGGTCGCATTGAAATACAATTTTGATATCCGTTAATCTAAAGGCCAATTGAACGCAATTCAAGCGTTTTTTCTCAAATGTAGAAGTGCCCCATCTTCCCTTTAAGATATCAGTCAGTCGCATCAGTCTGCCTCAGGTGCTGCTTTGTGTTACCGCATTACTACTCCCTGTCTAGTTTAGTGCTCCAGATTCCCAGCAGAGGATCGTGCACATCAGTCGCTCATTGCAAGGGTCTGTCCAGGACTGTTAATTTGGTATACCATAGTGTACTTTGTAATTGTGGGTCAGACCTTGTTGGACTCGACCTGTGTTTGAATCGCTGAACTTCCTGCAGACCTCTCGCAGAGGGTGGACAGCGTGAAGGAGGAGAACCTGAAGCTCAAGTCTGAGAACCAGGTCCTGGGACAGTACATTGAGAACCTCATGTCCGCCTCCAGCGTCTTCCAGTCCACCTCCCCCAAGACAAAGAAGAAGTGAGTCCGATCGTGCAACCCCCAAAGCTGGCAAGGTGCCAAGTCTCATCCCTTTACACTGCCCAAATAAGGTACGGGATGTTGTTGAAAGGAAATGTGCAAAGATTGGCAGGCACTGTGACAGTGGCAGACGTTTTGGTCGCGCGCTTTGTCCATTATGAGGCCCCTACTTTACGGTGAAACGGAACTTGCAATCATTCAGAGCCTAACACCACTTGGTATCACTCTCTGCTATTAGGTAAACTCTGTTTTGACCCTACAGTTGCACACCAGGCATATCTTTTCAAGATTGACCAAGTTATCCTGCTTTTGTGGAAGGGCAGAGATTTTTCCTTGAAAACCAGAAAATGACAGGGGCATAAATGAGTGCACCTGAATAATATTTAAAGAGAAATAGCCCAACAACCATTCGTAACCATCGCTGGGGCAAAATACGAAATTTTGATTCCATAGATCTTGTTTACAAGCAGTGAAATGTTTCGTTTACTAGAAGAAAAAAAAAAAGACGGTAGAATCGGCAGTAAAACTCCTTGCTTTCTCCCTAAAGATTACAAAATAGTAAAACCCAAATGCAGAGAATGAGGAATAATGGGTGCGGGCAATCTTTCTAACCTGGAAAAAACCTTTGCAGTATGCAGTTCTGGAGTTCTCTTCAAATTTTTGACAGTGGTGCTCGAGCACGCATTGCTGTTACACTGTGACATAGCTCTTGCAGTTGGTACTAGATGCGTGCCACCAGGGCTCTCCCCACGGTGGGCGGCAGCGGCTTTGCCGTCCACTGCTCCGACTGACCGCCCATTGCTTTGACTGACCGCCCACTGCTCGATTATGCTGCAGGATGACGATGCTATTTTGCCTGCACACATGGCTGCAGCCCGTCGTACTCAGCAGGCCCATGCACCGCCACGTTATCGCATTGCCAACTGCTGCCACTCCTTCAAACCAGGAGAGCGGAGCCAACACCTCCTAGATAACAAAGGCTAAAGGAGATTGAGTCATCAGAGAAGGCCAACGCTGGACACAGATGGCAAACGAATGCTGGGTCAGCGCTCGGCTTCCAGTCAGTTGGAGCCCATTGTTGACGCGTGTCCAATCTGTGCCCAGCATTGGGCTTTATTCAGCACAATGGCTTTGTTGGCAAAGAGGTGTTGGCGGAGCGCCGCCGGCAGTGCGGGGGGAGAGGGAGAGGTGCTCGTCTGAGTAGAAACATGCGCAGTAGTTCTCTCCGCAGACGGTGAGCTTGCTCTATCTTCGCCTCTTCGCTAGCTTCCCGGCTTTCCTTCCCCATTTCTTTTTCTTTTTTTTCGAGGCATCCTGGCTTTTGCTTTTCACTATAGCTTGGTACCACTAACAGGACCGCAAAGTTAGAGAGCCTACGCAAAGTGTGTTTTGTCGGCAAGCCAGATTGTGCCACATTGCAACCAACCCCCCCCCCCCCCCTTCGTACCACTCGCATGGTGGTCATGTTCACCCCTAGAAAGATCCTGGGGAGAACCCTGCATGCCACAATAGCCTTCTTTACTCTTAAAAACCTTTCCCCGACGGAGCCATGGAACGCCCAACCGCCGGAAAAGGGCGAGGAGCAGCGCCGAACGGTTACCAATATGGTAGCGCAGAGCCACTTCCTGGGTGGCCTCACTGCGAAACGGATCTGCATTTTGAGTTTTGCATTACCTCCGAGATCATAGCCCACCCCGAGGTGCGGTGAGAGAAAGAGAAAGGAGGGCTATCGGTGCAGGGAGAAACGGGAGGCGGGTGGGAGTAGGTTGACACAAGATGTTCTCCTTTCCCGAAAGAAACAAAAGGGTCTTTCTGAATTTTACTGCTGCGGCATTCTTTGGCGCTGCCTGACAGGCCCCTTTTCCGGCTCTTTCTAGAATAAAGACGGCTATTAAGCGTGCACATTCCTTGAAATGTTTTATCCTGCTTGTTAGTATGAGGTGCCAGCGGCACATGTGACTTTGCAGACTTTCCTAGACTGCTGCTGCTATGTTCAGCTGCAGTAAATAGCATTCTGCAGCTGATCTTTGCCGGTTCTCTCCCAAAATATGTGACCGTTGCAGGTTTTTTGGTATGTATTTATCAGTGTGTCGAACAGAAAAAATACGGGTTCGGTTACGGTCCAGGTTCAGGTAAATTTATTTTGTTCCAGTTCAGTTCCGGTTCGATTAATTCGATCCGCGAACCGGTTTGGAAATTATAAATGACAAATTGCAACATCAAAATAAATTACAAATAAAACATCTGAAATCAGCACATACGAAACGGGATACATCGTAGTGTAAGGCTCAGGGATTTCTACCAGGATTGGTTTCTTTATGTGCACTCAAAGGTTACCTCACCGACATTTACGCATTCGGACTTCATCTAATTGGGTCCGACGCAGTAGCTGTAAAAGCCGCGACCTCCTTACAAACGCACTTACAAGTAGAAATCGCTAACTATCCCGCCACCTCGGCGTGTAAGCAATTGAAGGAACAGTGGGGAGAAAATACAGCTTTCTTTATTTGAACTAGACTTCGGTAACTCAAATTAGACCCTTAAAGAAGTTTTCATTAAACAAGATACGGAATATGAAAAACACTTCACCGCACGCAACGCCAGAAGGGCGTAATAGGATAAATATTAAAATAGAAGAGTTCGCTGTCTCACAATTATGTTAGCTTCTAAGTGCCTATACGAAACCGGATGCATTATTATCAAACTCCACAGCCTTTTCTTTTCTCATTCCGATGGAAGCAAGCTTCAAGAGCTCGCACGTTCTAGAAACGTATTATGAAATGAGCACACAGCAGCATTTAAGATTTACGAGATTGTAGGAAAATAAAATCCTGTGACGCGATTTTTTTTTTTTGCACAGCCTTTCAATTCTTTTTTTTCCGTGCAAGCCGCGACCAGCGCAATACTGGTTCCTATGTCAAGATTCATGGATGCAGCGTTTATATTCCTAAAACTGAGTGGAGAAGAAAAATATGTAAGCGAGGTGTGTGTCAGTTGACGGCACTTAAAAGACAAATGGCATTGATAGCACATTCATTGTCAACAGCGCGTGGCCGAACCGTTTTGCCATGAGCCGGTAACCGTTGTTTTTTTTTCCGGTTCAGTTCCGGTTCGGGTTCATCGCGATAACAATATAACGGTTCGGGTTCAGTTCCGGAAAAAATACCGGTTCGGTTCCGGTTTTCGGTTCGGTTCGGTTCCGGTTCGACACCCTGGTATTTATGTAGATTGGGGTACGTAACAGTGATTCACATAAATATACTGGGTGCATCCTATGTACAATCAGCATCAAAATAAGTTGGTTCGACGGAACAACGGTCGGAGCTGCAAAAATTCCGCATGGCTCCCCCCTGTCGCAATAAACTGGAATGGACTGCTGCGATTTCAATCACGGGGAGGTCGGTAGTAATGATAAGTGGTACGGGTAAGTACTCACCGAGCCAACAACTGATTGTGAAAGAAAAAAATTCGGCCAAGACATTTAAGATTGCTTGTGTGTAGGAAGGTGAAAGCTTTTGTACATGCAGCGCATTCCTGCAAGTAGCGCACCACATCTTCCGGCGGTGACATCACACTCCTCCACCGTGCAGTTGCTGTGAACCCCGCCAGCTTCACGACGGCTCCCGTGATGAGGCATCTGCTTTGCCGCGCTTCTCTTTGGGTTTTATCTCTGACGCGCCCGCTTTGACCTTGAGCGCACCCGCTGGCTTCCGTGACGAGGCATCTGCGTTGCTGCGCTTTTCTTCGCGTTTTATTTCTGAGGCGCATGCTCGATGACATATTTTTATGAGCATGTTTCGGTGACAATGCCGCGACTTTTTCGCGTAATGGGACGAGGCTTTTGCCTTAAGAAAAAAGAAACGATTGTGCGATGATTCATCAGAAATGAACAGCCGGCCACGCAATGAGAGGCGTTGAGTTCACCCTATAGATGCGCGACTTGTCATTTCTACCAACCTCCCCCATGCATGCAACCGCAACAGTCTGTTGGAGCATCGTGATGGAGGTGCCACACGCGGGATTTTCGCCGCTCTGGCCGGCGTTAGGGCAATCGAGCTGATTTTGATGTTGACTGTACTAGGTTGGCCGCCAAGCTGAAGGGTTGGTGCAAACTGCGTTGACCCCGCTCTCTGCGCCTGAGTACGCCTGAGGAGCGTGAACTGCGTGGTGGAGACGTACGACCGGCCCAACGAGCTTAGCGGCAGACGGAGCGTAGCAGATAGGTTGTTGTTGTAAGCAAGCGAACATTCTTGGAAGAAACCGTCATTCGAACCAATCTGAAAAGCAACACTGTTTGGGTTGGATAAGTGAGGCCTTTTTTATTTCAGCTCTGCTGTGTGAAGGGTTGCCCGCAGCACAATGTGGGATTAGCCGTCGGGCCCACACGATGGTATAGTAACTGAAAGGCGCTCACCACGTTGGTTGCTGGGCGATTCTTACGGGCAGATGCTGCCGCGATTTTATTGGCTCTAGGGTGTGCCGCCATCTGGGATGATTCTGTACCTGCACTCGATGCACTTTGCATGTACGCTTTTTGCGCCTAAGGGAAGGAATTCCCGCTTCAAGGGCCATCTTTTTGGCTATTCTGTTGCAGTCACGGTAAGGTCGATGCGTGAAGTTTTTTGTGGACGTGAAAAGTGTTTAAAAAACTGGGCTTGCCCGATCAATGCAGGGGCTCGACAAGGGGCAAGAAGTGAAGACGTGTGCTGCTTGTGCATCGTCCCACCTCTGTACCGACGGACCCCGCCTCGAGCCTCCCCAGTCGACGCAATCCAGGATGTCCTCAATCTAGTACCACCCTGTCCGCCGCTCATTTCCACGCGAGTGACATCAGCTTTGAGTTCCTTTCGCAAGTTCTACCAATTCCTTTCAATGAAATGACTGTCCTTGCGACAACAGCCAGTGGTTCTGTCGTTGCCGAGATTGAAGCACCATTCTCGGGCTTAGTCCTTGATTGTTGATGCCATGTTAGTTTCAAGCTGCTTTTTCTTTTAGGCTTACTGGATATCTTTGTTCTTCTTTTTCTGAGCAGCGGCATAATGTTCTAGAGCCTGGGGACCCTCAGGCTGTCTAACTTCACCGAGGGAGTCTGTCGAGGGCAGTGCGTTTCCGTTGTGCATGAGTGTTTATGCTGGCTGAGGGATTGCTATGATGTACCGCTTGGAGCGTCACACGGTCTTCAGGCACAGCCAGAGATCACACCTTTTTTGTGCCGTGCGAATTACTGACATTTGAACGAGCGGCTTGAGTGATATTCAAGTTTACCCGAGTGGTGCAACCCTTGCCACGGACGGGCACAAGATATTCTCTTGCCCCCCATCCCACTGCTGCTTGTAACTGCCGCAGCTTTTTGAGCACCGTGCCAAGGTTTTAAGAGAATGTTCCGCAACATTTGTTGTGATTATTTTGAAATAGTGCACTTCTTTGCGTTTGTGTAACACACGCGCACATTAGGATGCAGAGCTTGCGGAGGCTAGTCAGCGATAATAAAAATGCTTCGTTTTACGCAGCTGCCATTATTTCCGAGGCATTCTTTACCTTCCCTTATGTTTTACTCAGTTGCACATAAAATTGTCTCCAAGTTGGCTCAAGTTTTACTTGTAATGCAGGGTGGTGCGTAATGTGTCAGATATCAGAGGATGCCTTCCTGTTTTATCTGCATGCTAGACAAATTTGTTTTTCATTGCCTGCCACTGCCTTTAGGAGTGGCTGGACTGTTCTAGTCACAAGAAAACTGCCTCGTTTCACGAGCTGTGTGGTGCATACTGGCGTTTTCGCAGCACGGCTGCTTGTCCAACCGAAAGTGCATCCCACATGACCTGTGAAACTAAGTGTAGCCACCAATATGAGCTTTCATGTATGCAGGGCCATTCAGTCAGCGCTTGTGTGTGACAAATCTCACCTGTGTGCAATCTTGTAATAAACAATGACCTGTGTTATAATGTTATTGTGTTTTCTCAAGGAGCAGGCTATGACTGCCACTCCCTTAGGAGTCAGATTTTTGTCAGATCGCCTCAATTGAGACCCCAATTAGTCTGGGCCAGTCCACGACTGTGAAGTCTATATGAAGTCGCACAATTGTGGCTTCCGATACAATGCGAGTGTTGACCAGGGTGTAAGATAGGTGGGGAAACGAGAGCCAAATGAGCGACCGGATTGTGTCCCCCTTGGTTTTCTCTTTTTCTGTGGCGCCATCTATGTGGAGCACCGCGAACTCTCACTCTGGGTAGACGACCAACTAAACTGACGGAGATGATTTCTCATGGATTTTCAATGGAGGACTGTCGTGCTCTCGGTTTATTTTGCGCACTCTCCCATAAAGTTCTATGCAAATCCGATTCCAATTTTTTTCTCTCGCCGCGGCGCCATCTGTCGCAAATCGGGGGTACCCGCAGGCAGACGAGTACATAATCCGGTCATGGCGCTGCGGTAGGCTTTATGGGTCGTTTCCCCACCTGTCTATCTTACACCCTGGTGTTGACAGCGTCTTCGTGGAATCCTACCCTTGAGGATAAACCCATTTTCCGCCATCTAGTAGCTTTTATGCTTGTGCCTAGGCCTCAACAATTTGAGGCATGCCTTCTAGGCATCGTCTGGACACGAGCAGGGACGTTGAGAGATTCCCCAGGTTTGACCTTTTATTTCAGCTTGAAGCTTGACAGATGTTTGACTTTTGTGCACATGCACATAAATTGAAAACAACCTAGTGCCACATTTTGACAAACTAAGTCTTTTATTGTGTATAGGCATCGATAATGATTCCCTAAAATTTAGGAGAAGCTTTAATATAAATAGCTTTTTCCTGAAATTTAAAACCTTTGGGCCGACGTCTGGCAATACCGTCCAAAAAAAACCTTGAATTTATGCAAGCTCGCAGAGGGAATGGCGCTGTACAGAATTCAACACATTCTAGAGAACAATGGCACAATCCACTACATGCAAACAGGTTCCGAAGACACCTCGGGAATCGGAATAATCTTGGCAATCTACACAGATGTGTTGGAAACACCCTCCAAAGTTGATCCACGCATCGTTGTAGCGGTGGACGTCAAAAAAGTGTTTGACTTCGCACCACACAAATCAATCATCGACACTGCAGTTGCTCATGGTGTCCAAGGAGCACCAGTCAACTTCATCAAATCCTTCTTGGAGGAACAGAAATGTACAAAGTGGGAAACGCCGCAGGTCCAAAAACACCCAACGGGGTCGGATTCCCACAAGGTGCAATCATCAGCAGATACAGCGCGCCCACCGCCTGTTCAAAAAGCTGGCAAAACAGCTACATCACCACCTACGCTGTTCAACCTAGTCATGGCCGACCCCCCTCGCTTCGCCTGGCCCATATCCGGGACCTCTGCTTCACTATCTGCCGGTGATATCACAATCTGGACCAAGGGTGGAGTGGTCAGAAGACAAGAAGAGGTCCTACAGGAGGCACTGGACACCATCATAGAGTTTCTGGATGCCGCAGGCATGTGTGCAGCACCAGACAAGGCCTCGTAATGGTGGGCAACCAACGCACTCAATCAGAAATGCGGACCATAGGCCTGACCATGAAGGGAGAGGCGATGAGTTGAAAGTTTGAGAATTCTCAGACTGTTTCTCTATCAAGGTGGAAGGCCCCATACCTCGATGAAGAGGGTAATGAAAACCTGGAAGGGCATGCTGCACTTCATCAGAAGAGCGGCCACAAACAAATGGGGAGCCAGGAAAAGGGTAACACATACCCTAGCCCTGGTGCTTCTGACTTGAAAGCAGGGTGTCAAACCGAAATGTTTTTCGTTCGGGTTTTCGTTCTGGTTCAGGAAAAAGGGTTCAGCTCCGGTTCAACTCCGGAGTGAAAAAATAAAGGTTCCAACCTGTTCGTACTCATATGCTACAAAAACAATTGACGGCAGCAAAAGATAAACTATTCATATTTTGTAAAAGTGTTGCGTATAAAAAGCAAACGCTGACATTACTGAGTGAACGAACGAGCTAGTGCTGGGGCACCTCTGGACGTGAATGATAGCACAGTTCAATGTCAGTCAGCTGACCGAAGAAGCGGGAAGTTGTCAAGAATATTTGGGGAAAGACAGCTCCTCTCAGAGGATAAAATGAACTTCAGTGCAAAAGGGCTCGCTCCACGCTTACCTTGGTTGTAGGCACTCCCACGACTACTTTGCGCCAAAGCGTAGAACTCTGGATAACGTCCTCTTCTCTCCGCCCAAAAGTGCAACACGTTAGCGTCCCTTGAAAGCCACGGCTTTTCATTTAAATGCTCACCAAAGCGGCACCAAAGATTCATAATTTCGCGCGTGCACGAGCGAAATTATGAATTTTTGGTGCCGCTTTGGTGGAGTGCACATAGGATTTCTGGTACAGCCTGCCAGCGGTCGTACCGCGGCATCAATTACGCTGTGTCACGATCGTTAGCAACATGAGGCTTCAATCTATTGGACGGTACAAGCTACATTACTCTTCCTTCACATAAAAACAGTTGCGATTTTGAAGAAGCGGATTGCAAGTTGTTTAAGCTTAGAATTAGCTGCGACTTTCGGCTTGTCAGATGGTGAGCATTTTAAATGAAATGCCCATTTCTTTGGTCGCAAAGGCCGAGCATTAGATATTTGAAAGGAATATCTAAAACTCGAAAGCAGTTTTTTTTTTCTCTCTTATTTCATAATGGAACGAAATGGCACATAATAAAGTCCGTGATTGTTTTAGTACGTTTTTAATACCCCAGGTTAACTTCTCGGTCTTCTTTTCTGCCCGTCTTATTTTTCTTGACCTTAATCAGCTCGCTTCACTTGTCACTCATTCTTGTGTTCATTTATGCGACGAACCACCCAAGTGACAGTCGCAAAGGGGTGAGAATCTTTTATTTCTTCATGGCTGCCACGACCATCCGAGGACCACCCGACGTTCACTTGTAAGAAATGGCTCATAAGCCGTGATAATTTTTATCACGCGTTTTAACATTGAACTTAAGTCCTAAAACTGAGACAACGTGGGCTGAACAAGTAATCCTTTATAAGATTCAAAGAAAACAAGCAACTATTTCACATCATTTTGAGCAGAAAACATGAGCACACGTAGATCAGGCAAGGAAAAAGTTGTAATAATTTCAGCACGGCATTGAAATACATGATTACAATGTGGGCAACCCACATTGTAATACATGGTTACAATGTGCAGCGCATACATGGCCCTGAAGGTATATTTGGCATACCACATCAGGTAAGTTGTCGAAACAAATGAACACTGCCCTTTCAATGCTGATCTTGTTGGACTTCGGCTCAAGAGCAGTCTCCAAATAAGCCACACCGTCGAAGTTGACAAACTTGTGAACAGCCCAGTAAGGAGTTGGCATATTCAGAGAACCTAGTGTGTCGCGATCAATGCCTTGTGGGATCACAGCAGGGGCTTCGCTGTTCACCACTGGTGACAACGGGTCAGTTTCCCCAGCAAGCCCCGAACGCTTTGCAACGATGGGCTCTGGTAAACTTGCCTTCCACTTCCTTTCCTCTCGTCCTGCGGGAAGGTCATCGCCAGGGTGTAAGATAGACAGGTGGGGAAACGAGAGCCAAATGAGCGACCGGATTGTGTCCCCCTCGGTTTTCACTTTTTCTGTGGCGCCATCTATGTGGAGCACCGCGAACTCTCACTCCGGGTGGGCGACCGGTGGCGACCGGCTAAACTGACGGAGATGGTTTCTCGTGGATTTTCAATGGCGGACTGCCGTGCTCTCGGTTTATTTTGCGCACCCTCCCATGAAATTCCAGCAAATCCGATTCCGATTTTTTTTCTTCTCGCCGCAGCACCATCTGTCGCAAATCAGCGGTACCCACAAGCAGACGAGTACACGGTAGGCTTCTATGGGCCGTTTCCCCACCTGTCTATCTTACACCCTGGTTATCACTCAGGTCCTGGGGTACACTTGGCAGCAGAGTCGGTACCGCGTCTGGCGTAAGCGCTGGGTGTCCACGAGAGATTCTCACTTCCTTTCCGCCGTTGATGTGGACGTAGTCTCGAAGGATGAAGCGGCCCTTACAAAAATGATCAATGAGTTTCAATTGACTTTCTATTGTGTTCCTAGTATATTGAAACTCAGTATAAACTCAATGTCTAATGAGTGTGATCATTAGAAACTCAATTTTGATTCTATTGAATTTACTCATTAGGAATGCAATTGAGACTGATCATAAGAAACTCAATATCGATTCTATTGACTTTACTCACTAGGAATGCAATTGAGTTTGATCATTAGAAACTCATTATCATTTCTAATGAATTTACTCATTAGGGATGCAATAGTTTTATCATAAGAAAGTCAATATCGATTCTATTGAACTTACTCATTAGGAATGCAATTGAGTTTGGTCATTAAGAACTCAATATCGATTCAATTGAATTTACTCATTAGGAAGGCAATTGAGTTTGGTCATAAGAAACTCAATATCGATTCTATAGAATTTACTCTTTAGGAATGCAATTGAGTTGGTCATAAGAAACTCAATATCAATCCTATTGAATTTACTCATTAGGAATGCAATTGAGTTTGGTCATTTGTGGATTACTGCACCGCTCGATTATTGCTTGTACCAATGTTTTTCTATTATTCTATTAAGGGATAGAGTCCAATGACCTGGAAACACTCTTTATCATTTATGAGACTTCCAAGGAGGAAATAGCAAACTGGGAACCTTAATAAATGCTGAGGTAGTCACCGGCCAAATGAATACCTTTCTTTTGTAGGGTACACAAGGCGGTGGGGTAGTCAAGGGGAGAATGATTAGTGGGTTGTGAGTGCTTAGTTATGATGTTTGTGTTCGTTTCCTCCACGTGCTTTGTTTCCTTCATATTGCATGCTTTAAGGAATTATACAAAAAAAATCTCAACCAGTAGCAAATATTTTTAAACGCAGTTGTAATAGATTCTATTGAAACACGTTGCAAAACTT